AGTATGCCTGTTTCCCCGTTGACGATGGGTACGCCCTGATTGAAATCAACGGGCATTAAGATCGCGAAGACTGGGAAGGATAAGTACCAATGCACTCCGCCAGGCAGAAGTTTCTTGAGGTAAGCTATCCCCCTTTTTTACATTGTACGGCTGCCCATATGGGCACTGTCCAGCAATCCTACAACACAACAGTCCTTAGCTAGTGATTGGTGGACAGTGTACAGCGACAGTGATTGTAAATTTGAATAAACACATCAGTCATTACACTTTACCTTCTGCTACATTTTCACTCTTATAGATAGCATTGCCCTTTTAAACTCTCCTTTTCCCTGTTGTGTTGTAGTTCACATTGTCTGTCGACGAAGATCAACGGCGAAAATCTAAACGACTAAAGCGCCAACCGGGAAAATACAAAGATTTCTTCTCATCGTTAACTGGCGACATCCCCCATATGTCCACCTCCTCGATAAGCTACAAATTTCTGTGACTCATTGCTTTTGTAGGAGTCAGAGTCCGACAATTCTGACAGTTCTACTACAATGCCCTCAGGATACTCACCCTCACGCAAAGGTAAGTTTTTATCGTTATGCGCAATTCTCTGTAGACAAAACCAAACGGCGGAGCCGCAAACGGCGCCCTGCTCATGGCTTCAAACAACAGACACGCACGTACCTGAAGTGGCTAGCTGATATGAATATGTCCTTGATAAGATATCTCAGACAATCAGAAGAGGACAGAAAGCGTGGAGAAGAAAAATTAGACCGCGTTCTTGCGGCTCTTTATGATAAGACTGCCTCCGCATCGGCACCTGTCGACGTGCCTTTTCTTACCCTTCTGTCAACAATTAGCAAACTGGACGCCTTTAACAAGGCATTATCAAGGAAACAGTATCGCCAACGAATCGTAAGTTACCCAACAATCTAAGCTAACGTTACCAGGTTACCCACTTGGCATCTGTACCTACCGATGATGTGCCGGCTTACGTTAACAGGGCTTTCTGGATCCTGCTAACTGACAGCATCACGGAGGAGCTCTCTTTTAAGGGCCAGAA